CAGTGGTTCCATAGTGCCAGTAGGACCAACTACGCATATGCCAGTAGGCCTTCCCCAGTGGTTCCATAGTGCCAGCAAGACCAACTAAGTATATGCCAGCAGGCCTTCATCAGTGGTTCCATAGTGCCAGCAGGACCAACTATGTATATGCCAGCAGGCCTTCATCAGTGGCTCCATAGTGACAGTAGGACCAACTACACATATGCCAGTAGACCTTCCCCAGTGGTTCCATAGTGCCAGTAGGACCAACTACGCATATGCCAGTAGGCCTTCCCCAGTGGTTCCATAGTGCCAGTAGAACCAACTACGCATATGCCAGTAGGCCTTCCCCAGTGGTTCTCTAATATTTGCATATTTTCCTATTAATCCTGGCCATATTCCTGCCACTGATATAGCCTGCTAGATATATTCCTGCCACTGATATAGCCTGCTAGATATATTCCTGCCACTGATATAGCCTGCTAGACATATTCCTGCCACTGATATAGCCTGCTAGATATATTCCTGCCACTGATATAGCCTGCTAGATATATTCCTGCCACTGATATAGCCTGCTAGATATATTCCTGCCACTGATATAGCCTGCTAGATTATTAAGACAACCTCTTCTCCTGCTATTTGGGCAAAAACTTGCTTAAATAGTTTTCTATTACTGCTCTTCAGGCATTCAGGCTTAATTCGGGGAACTGGAGCACAGATCCAATTCCCTAAATCAAGAGCCCCTCACCAACATCAAGGAACCTTCCAGGCGCTGTATAATCCCCCGGGTTTAGCGCTTCCCCCTTGATTATAATAATAATAATATTATTACTGCTCTTGTATATTAATTAGCCAGAAAGGTGAGTTTGTGAGTACTGATGTGACGCCAAAGAAAATTAATTGTTAAATTAGACACATGTGCAACTCTTGGGTATCTTTATTAAGGAAACGTTTCGCCACACAGTGGCTTCATCAGTCCATACAAAGGATAAACTTGAAGAACAGGAGGAGAATGAGGTAATCAGTCCCTCAACCTTGAGTCGATGTGGTCAGTCCATCAATCTTGAATAGAATACGGCATATGAGCGGAGAAGGAGCTTATAAACCGTATGGCAGGAGAGGTGCAGCAGTCGTAGGTGGTGTCACATTTGTCCAGTGTGGAAGTAGGTCGTGCCCAAGGTCGTGCCCAAGGGTTAGGCAAGCGAAGAATTCCCAAGTATTAAGAACCATTCATCTACAATCCTATCAGACACTGCAAGTTCTTGGGATCTTAATACTTGGGAATTCTTCGCTTACCTAACCCTTGGGCACGACCAACTTTCACAATGGACAAATGTGACACCACCTACGACTGCTGCACCTCTCCTGCCATGCGGTTTATAAGCTGCTTCTCCGCTCATATGCCGTATTCTATTCAAGATTGATGGACTGAACACATCAACTCAAGGTTGAGGGACTGATTACCTCATTCTCCTCCTGTTCTTCAAGTTTATCCTTTGTATGGACTGATGAAGCCACTGTGTGGCGAAACGTTTCCTCAGTAAAGATACCCAAGAGTTGCACACGTGTCTAATTTAACAACGTGTCGGTTATTTGAACCATTCATCGGAAAATTAATTAGAGAAAATTAATTATTGTGATATAACTCTAAGAAGTAAAGAGAATGGAATGTTATTAATATTCACATTTTCATTTTTATTTGTAGTCTGTCTTAAATGAGTTAGAACAAGAATAAAACAGCCTAATTCCAACAGGGGTACCTGATTGTTATATCATATGTTAAATGAGTACTGGCAAGTTGTTTGAGAAAAGACACAACACAAGCATTAAGACAATGCTTTGCCTGTGCTTTACGATGTGATGAGTACCTGAACCTAAGGGACTCGCCACCTTATGTCAAGGATGAGGGAATACTAACTTCAAAGTCTCTACTCCATATCTTTTAGTTTTTCACAAGCAATAATCTCCTGCACCCAACTGAGGAAGCCTGCTGCGCAGGCTAAACGCAAGTTAAAAGCAGACCAGACTCACTTGTTGCGGGAGAGGGTGTCGGGTGAAGGATACTGAACGAACTCTGGGACATTATTTACCAGAGGTGTGTATACAGTCAGTATCTTAAGAGAGGTGTGTCTGCACTCATTACTTACCTGAGGAGGTACACTATCAGTGTCTGGTGGTAGTCGGGCAGGGACGGGCAACCACCGGCAAACACCCTGGGGCCTCAGGTGGTACAAGAGATACTCCAGTTGGTACATCATATACGTGTCGACGTAGTGAAAGGTCACAGCAGAGTCAGAGCAGCAGTTGAGTCCCTGAGGAATGATCAGCAGGATTACTAGACAAACTGGTAGTTTATTATTATTATTATTATTATTATTATTATTGTCATTATTATTATTATTATTATTATTATTATTATTATTATTATTATTATTATTATTATTATTATTATTATTATTATTATTATTATTATTATTATTATTATAACTAAGCTCTAACATTAGTAGTACAGTACTGAATCTTGGAAGTGTTATGTTTATCAGGCAACAGAAAAGTGTCTCTTGATGCAGGTCTGTGTACGATGATCACCTGGTAAGTTATGCAGCATATTTGAGCTTATTTGTGCCAATACTTGTGCTGAGGCATCCTTTTGCTCGGCGTATTAAATACTCGCAGTATGGTATCCGCTGGCTTACCTGCGATATGTACCTGATTTAAGCTTCCGATATCTTACAGCATTACTGTATACACATGTGGTTGCGCACCTCTGGCTTACGGCATGATATACACGTGTTTAATCATGTGCTGGCTTACCAGTGCAATTTATCTGTTGTAAGCCATCTGCTGGCTTACCTGTATTGTATACCCATAGTTAAGTATTCGTCGGTTATGGAAAATATTTTCCAAACTCAGCTTGATAATAAGTATAAAGTTCGTTTATAATTGTATAAGTGGGTTTAGGTCTGTTATCCCTTAGGATAAGTTAGGATGTTTTGTATTTTTTAATATAATTTATATAATTTAGATAAGATATGCTTAAATTTATATTAAAATGTAATAAGCAAGGCAATAAGATACAATTGCTTACGTATTTCACGAGAAGATGGAAGAATAGAAACATGGTAGACGTAATTCGAGTTAGTCATATAGTATTCCCCTGAGTTTACGGAGAAATAACTTAACTTCTGTCAAAAAGTTGGTACTGCAAAGTCCAGTAAACATGATGTAGTCTTAATGCGAGCACGGGTGGTTGTTTGATAGCCTGTTCCACCTGATCGTAACTACGTCAGCAAACAAAAAAATTAGCTGGATAGAACTAGGCAAGGCTTCTGCTAACTCTTCTGTACTCGACTGAACAAGCCTACTGTTTCGGTATAAAGATACCTAACTGTTGCACATGTGTCTTACTTATCAATTTGTCAGTGTTGTATACCATTTTCATGTTCACTCTGTCAGACACTGCAACACAACTGTATCTTGGTACAGAAAACACCTTCAACAACTTTTTCCAGTGAGAATGGATGGATCTGAGAGGGACTTGCACTCTCATTGATGACATTCATCTGCTTGTGGGATGCGCCACCACACTGTTGATTCAACTACACATTGTTCCAGATTATGAAGCGAGACTCTTCTCCAGGCTGAGGACTGACCATCTCTAAACTACGCCTTCAAGGGTGATGGACATCGTCTTCGCATCTCTGCTGCTTCTGCTAACATAGGCCATTCCCATCATTTGTTTCTGTGTGATGACTGGAAAAAAATTCTTCTGATCAGCCATTTTGTCACTTTTAACCTCGAAATAATATAGTATTATTTTCATATTATAGCTTTGTTTTTCCCTTGATGATGGCGAACGAATTTTGTTCCAAGAAACTGTACCTACCTTCCCATTGCATGAATCAAATCTGAATGTCTCACACACCATAGGCACTACACGACCTGTAACAGTTTATCGCTTTATTGCTTTCCTCTGATTAAAATATAACAGTTGTGTTGATTTTATTAATCAAATTGTTTTCTGTGAAATAACTGAAGAATATCTCTTCTGGTTAGAAATAAGGCAAAGTGCTTAATTTTATTTAGTTGTCCTAGCTTAAATAAATGTTTTTTGTACCTATAACATCTGTTCTACTCAAGACCATTCATTAGTAACATTTGTATGATATATACACTTGGCTTATATAAAACTTCCTCTTCAAGGGGGGCTACTTGGCGTGGTGAAGAGGCTCTTGGTCTGAGGAATTAGACCTGTCGGTTTCCTTCCTCAGACCGAACCTAATTACCCCCCAATCCCTCCTTCCCTATCCCATCCTCCCCATCCTCCCCTTTTTCCTTTCCTCCTCCTCCCCACCACTCCTTTTTGCCCTTCCTCTTTTTGACCTTTGGGATTTTTTCCACAGGCGTGCTAGTTCCTAGGTAGGGGAAAGGGTACTGGGGTCCATCACATTCCTGTTGAAGTTCTTGGCGGTAGGGTAGTTTGCCGTTGAATCTGGATCGCCTGGGGATGTCCCGATCCCTCTCCCTGATCCCGGAGGAAGGCTTTGGGGTTTCTTTTGGGCGACGGGTGTATCTCTGGAAGCCACCTTTCGGATTCCGGGGGTGGTGGCCGAAGGAGGTATGCTTTGTGGTGGATATCCGGCCGCTCTCTCTTTTGTCCACCGAGGTAGCTCCGCAGATGTGAGGTTGCTATCCCGGATTGCTGCTTTACTGGCATGAAGGGTAGGGTATGGCACGGGTTCCATGCTGCATCTGCACTACTTGCGGTGCTGAGGTCCTCTTGGGCGCGGTGGGAGATTTCTGGCCCTTTTATTCCTCCTAGGAACTATCCCTCCCCGGTCCCCCCTTTTTTATTCCTTTTTTTATTTTTATTTTATTTTCTTCTTTCTTTTTTTTTTCTTGAAAACAAAAAGAAAGAAGTAACCTAACCATGCAGTGCCCAATCCATGACCCCGCTACCCCTGGGCCCCTTATTGTTACCGAACCCCGTTCTAACCTTGACTTGTCTTTTGGCCACTCTTTGGACATTTCTAAGGCCCCTGTACCTCTTGCTGGTGCTGTTTCATCACCCGCTTCAGGTGCCGGGGTTTCGACTGACTCCTTCGATTTGTCTGACCTCCGCTCTCCTTTGACTATGCTTCCGGCCTCTCCCTCTATGGTACGGCGATTTTCGAATCGCCAGCCCGTCCCATGTCGTACCAACTCTGGTCCCACTTCTAAACACCAACGACAATCTCCTGACGATGTTATTTCGTTACCTTCCTATTCTACTCGGAAAAGACCGACCCGTCATGCACTCCCTCTCCACACTCAGTTTTGGACCACACAATGGACTAAATTCTTTACTTTATGACCGACTTCTTCTACTGCCTATCTTTCCGACAACAGTATTGGCAAAGCGCTCCTATGCCACGTTGGTAGAGATATTTCCTTTCATGCTCTTAAGAGTGGTACGTGCATCATCACAGTCCAGAATTCTACTCAAGCTCACAATGTTTCTCTTCTTTCACATATCGATACTATTCCTATCACTATCAAAAACCATCATTCCCTCAATTCTTGTAGTTGTACTGTTATTCTGCCCCATACCATAGTCCAACAGAATTTCCAGACATGTGGCAATAACATTCTCGAACAGCTGGAACTCCAAGATCTCCCAATTCTCAAGGTAGATACTTATGCTCTTCCTGCCCACAGGTGAAGACGATACCCCTTGCAATATGGCCCGTTTAACTTTTGACAGCTGTGAACTCCCATCCTCTGTTTATGTAGCAGGACATCGGTTACAAGTTCGGAAGGTGATCCCTACACCGCAACAGTGTAGGAATTGCTGGCGATTTGGCAACTCAGCAAAATATTGCAGATCTATAGCCGAATGCCCAGTCTGTGGTGCCGATGATCATTCTAATACATCTTGCAGTCGAACTCCCTCTTGCCTTAATTGTCATGAGGTTCACCCTTCGTACCCTCGCCGTTGCCAGGTCTACTTAAATGAGCGGGAAATTCGTTGCCTCAAAGAGGCAGAAGGTCTCCCTTATGCTATGGCAGTTTCTCATCTCCGCCTCTAAGGGAGACTACTCCATGTTTCTTATTCTCGTGTTTCAAAACGTCCCCCCACTTCTTGGGTCCCATCTTCTGCAGCCTCCTCTGCAGTTGCCAGTCCCATAGTCACTCCTGTATCTAATTCTTTTGCTGTCCTAGGCTCAGATGTCCCTACTTCAACACCTCAGTCTGTCCTCACTTCTTCGTGTTCTCCCTCACAAACCCCAGTATCGACAAGACCTAGTACGACACCTCCCTCTACTTCTCAGAGGTCCAAAAAATCTCCTTTAACCCCTCCTTCCCTTCATCCACCTCCACATTTTACCTTCTCAGTCTCTGTACCTGGGTCTTCCCCTTTCACTGGCTCTGTTACAAGTGTGGAGGTTCATCCTCCTCCTCGTACTGTGCCTTTCTCCCCTGTCCCCTCCCAAGTTTCTTCCTCTTCTGCCACCTCCCAGGTTTCTGCTTCTTCTGTCCCCTCCCACACTTCTCCAGTTCCCTCCACCCTTTCGCCCCCCCTACTTGGTACAGTCCAATAGAGTTCCAATCTTTACTCAAACTCCTCCTCCTTCCATCTCCAATATTGTCTCCCATACGACATCTCTGAACTCTGAAACACTTGAAGCAATCTCTGAATATATTGCAGAGACCAAACCATCAATGGACACTGATCCACCCCCTGTTCCTTCTCTTTCCTCTTCTCCATCTGTGCAACTCCTTCACAGCGCACCATTCCTTCGCTTCTGAACGTTTTCCTTTGCCACAGCATGTGGACTTTTCTAACCCCTCTAGTCCGTGGGTACCCTTACCTGCGGATTTCAGATATATTTATCGTTGCCAATCATGGCCTGTTTACAGTGGAATATACGCGGCCTCAGGGGTAATCAGGGAGAGCTTCAGATGTTGCTCTCCCAGTTTTTCCCTGTTGGTGTTTGCTTACAGGAACCAAAATTACACTCTGCTGTTATCTATCCCATCTCAGGCTATAATTTATTGTATTCTATAATTTATTGTATTCTACACAGCAGCCCGTATCCACTTGCATAGGTGGTATACCCTCCATTCTTTGTATCTCTCTCCTTCTCGGGCATTATCTATCCAGGACATTGCCTTTCTTGTTTCGTCATTACCGCCACCTTTTCTGTTACTTGGCGATTTTAATGCCCACCATTTCCTCTAAGGGGGTCTCACTGTGATTCCCGTGGCATTCAGTTAGAGGCTTTTCTTGCTACCCACCCCCTCCATGTTTTAAATACAGGTACTCACACCC